AAAGAAAGAAAGAAAGAAAGAAAGAAAGAAAGAAAGAAAGAAAGAAAGAAAGAAAGAAAGAAAGAAAGAAAGAAAGAAAGAAGCTGCCGTGGAGACTCAGATGTGGTACTCTCTTGGTTTAAACCTGGTTTGGCCCCCCACCATGCTCACAGCAGGGCCAGAGTTGAAAACCTACCCCTGGTGGCTTGGCTCATCTGAGAGATTTGTTGTTATTGGGAAACAAAACTGAACTGAAAGACAATTGTCCAGCCATATAACTAAGCCTCATCCTGTGTTCAAGGCCTCCTAGACCATCATTGCATGGAATAAACCATTGGATTTTCTCCGTGTCTCAGTTTACCTTCTTGGTAAAATGTAGAAGTTTGTTACACCAGTGTTTTCTGGTGTCCTTTAGCTGTTGAACTTTCCTTTTGCCTTCACTTTTTTCTTTCTTTCTCTTTTGAAAATGGTGAAATCATGAGGGAGTTCCATGTAGAGGACAGAAATTCGGAAGTAGAAGCCAGAGGATCACTCATGTCAGCGCTCACAATGGTCCCTGGGAATCTCTGCACAGCCTGTGATTCTGTGCAGGATGATTTGAGGCTGCCTCAAATGATCATCAAAGCATAAAAATTCAAAACCTTAAAACATTGCAGAGTTCCAAGCACCTGCAGCTTATGAATGTGACGACCCAGGCCAGCACCACTTGGCTTCAGAATCCTGCTGGAACTTCTGCACACTGCATTGCTCTAGAGATGTGACTTCTAAGCTGGGCACAGTAGTGGGTCCCTATAGTTCCAGTACAAGGGAGCCCAAGACAGGAGGATTATGAATTCAAAGTTATCCAGATACACAGTGAGACCCTACCTAAAAAAAAAAAAATTCTTGTTTCCAAGCATTTATGAAAAGGACAATTTTGGGTTCTCCCCAAAGCTTCTAGTCACCTGTGTTTCCAGACAGTATTAAAATATCCTGAAACAGGAGTAAGAGGCCATGAAATTAAATACACTCATCCTTTTATGTCCAAAGGAGTTTGACCCTGGAGAAGAGTAAGTATAGTCTGAGGAGAAAGGGAAATGATTCTCCCCTTTCTGAACTCAGCCAAGCTGTGCAGACCAGGGTAGGGAAGGCCCGCAGATTTCTGTAATTGGTCTAGGTAGACCAGCTTTGAATCCTACAGATAATAGCTGGGAACTGAGCAGGCTCAGGTAAAAATTATTTTAAAGTCTACATGCTTTCATTTGTTAATGAATATTCTGGCTGCCTTCCTCTTTCCACACGAAGTCTGTTATTCTTCTGTGACTGCAAGGTGTGTTCTAATTGAACAAAACGCCAGTCTCCTGCTCACATTGCCTTCCACTATTGGAACTACAAGTGCCCACCAGATGTGCTTATCCTGTGCGAACACGCTGGGGCTCCCGGGCTGCAGAAAAGAAACCGTGTTTCTCACATTCTTGCTGGCAAAGCTCCTCTTGGGCCTAGAGAGAAGTACTTTATGTATCAGGGATTAACTACTGAGCCAGGAAATGCATCTTAACTGCCGACTGTCTCATTTTTTTCTGTGGTCAAATGAAGCTTTCCCTTTCTGGCCAGCAGGGCTGGGGCAGAGCATTCGTGGGTCCTGAGGTCTTGTTCGAGAGCAAATCAACTGTGAATTCTGAGGAAACTGTAAAGCTATTTCCTAGAAAGAGCATGGCTAATTCATGCTTTGATTCCCTCCTGGTGTGGTGTGTACTTTAAAGGCAACTGGGCCAGGCAGGCCATAATGGAGGGAATATATGTTCACTGGAGTGGTTTTCAACTGAAGATCCAAAGCCTGCCGTCATTCACCCTGTTTGTGTTTTAATATGAGCCAGTGGCTGTTTCAAGTCCTCATGGCTGAGGTTTACTGTACAGTGGTTCCACGGTAGTATGTAAAATCGCTATTAAGCACCACAGCTGTAAGTCACTCAGAGAGCCACATAACATTTTTACTGGCCTGTTCTGTGTTCCTCTTCCTAGGATATCAATAACAAGAGTAACGGCTGACATTTCTCTTGCTAAGAGGTCTGTTCTCAACAATCCTAGCAAGAGAGCAATAATTGAACGTTCAAACACCAGATCCAGCTTAGGTAAGATGTTTTCACGTAGGCATGAGGTGCATGTGTGGGGAATGTCTTGTCCTGCTTGGGCACTGTCTGCATGGAGAAGTGTTGAGTGTCTGTAGAGAAAGCCAGCCAATGGACAGGAGAGGGGCAGAGACCTGTAGCAGCCAGATGCCAGCCCCCCTCAGTTTTAGTCTATTAACTAAACAGCAGTCTGGTGAGAAAAGGCATTCTCAAGTTCTACTATTCAGTTGCTGCTGAACCCTGGGAAACCACCCATTTCCTCTTCCCCAAATGTGACAATAAGGTTTCTGTTATAGCTGACACATGACTGACATGAAACAAAAGGAAATGTTTAGAAGGGCAAGATAATGATGTTCTTGTGTGGCCAACTGGTATACCCGGAAGCATCACAACTTTCAGTAGAAACGGTGACCACCATGATGAACACACAGGGAACTCAAACCCATCTTTTCTGGTTGCTTTTTGGAAAACATGTTAAAATCCTCCCAGAAGAGAGAATAAAAAGGTTGTAGGTGGGTTGGGATGTGACTACAAGTGAGTCACTCTGGGAAATGTTGCTTTGAGCCCATGGGAAAAAAATAATAACAGTTTTGGAAGCTGAGTGAGGGTATGCATACCTGTAATCCCATCATGTGGGAAGTGGAGTCAAGAGGATTGGAGGTTCAAGGCCAGCCTGAACTACATAAGACCTTGCCTCGAAAGCAAACCAACACAGGGTCATCACTAGTCCCAGAGATGCTGGAGCTCTCCAGTCTAGTGGCAAAGAGTGTTCATTAAGGGCCTCCAGCACCGGAGTCTGTGACTGTTCCAACTTTAATTACCTGTAACAGATTTATGAAGAAGCTTCCATGAGAACCCATCTGGGTAGCCAAGATTGTTGGTTTTCTCACACAAAGTGAGCTAGGTAGATGGAAATGCCCTCGCCTTCCTTGTGCCTGTACTTTGCCTATATCACTCTATGTATTTTCTAAACACCACGGTCACCCCGCTGTGTAATCTGGCCCTCGGCCGATCTCCCCAAGCTCCACCACTGCTTATTCGTCAGTGCCGCTGCCCAGGGGCTTTGTGTTGTTTCTGCAGTGGCTGTGAACCCACACACCAGCTCATTGCTGGTGCAGAGTAAACAAAACCCAGGTATTTCTGAGCTATTTGGACCGAGACTAAGAGTGCCTTGCGGGTTCTGGTCCTGGGGCAGTCCAGTTTGTATTGACGCCTTTTTGTTCCTTCAGAAGAATGCTAATTGTTATTGTACATTATTTTATAATAATATGTGAGACTTGAAACTAAAATGATATAAGCTTGTTCTGCCATGGATCTGCCTAGCAGCTCCTTTAAAACTGCAGCAAGCTAATAAAAGCACACGTGGAGGACCTACCCCACCTTCCTTTAGTAAAAACTGACTTTATTTCCCAAATGCCCTTCTTGAGAAAAATTTCTATTTAAATGGTTTCTGACATGCTAGGAAAAAAATGAATATTTTTTTTTTGTTGCTAACAAATGTAGACTATTCTTTCATAAGAATTTGGCAAGGATCTCCTTATATAGATATCCTGAAAACTGGTCACTGGAAAATCAATGTGGAACCTTTCAGGACATTGGTGTTTGAGAATGTGACATGTGTTTTGATATGTGTTTTGACTTCTTAAATTCATATTTTTTAAAGAAGATTTTTATTTATTTGTGTGCATGTATGTGTGTGTGCCACATATACGGGGGTGCCTGAGAAGGCCAGAGGGGTTGTCTTGTCCCCTGGAGCTGGAGTACAGTGGTTATGAGCTGTCTAATGTGGATGTTGGAACTGAGCTTGGTCCTCTGGAAGAGCAGCAAGTGCCCTTAACTGCTTGGCCATCCCTCTGTCCCCCACATTCATGCTTTTAAGGTAGACTATGCATTAAATGTCAGAAATTCTGTAAGAAATGGGAAAGTTTTGCTTTTATGCTAAGTCTTCCCTTTAGTAGAATCTGATTCAGATTTGGGGCATGACCCACTACATCAGGCGATTCATAAAGTATATAAAGGATTTTTTTTTTTTTTTTGGCTGTTCTTGTTGTTTGTTTTGGTTTTGGTTTTTTGGGGTTTTGGGGTTTTTTGTTTGTTTGTTTGTTTGTTTTTGAGACAGTATCAATACAGAATGCAGTCTGGGCTGAAACTCTCTCTGTTTCCCAGGATCCTTCGTCCTCAGTATCCCAAGTATTGGGATTCTAGGTGTGCACCACCATGCCCAACTTAAAGACCTTTTATATTTCAGAAAAACATGTAGTTTGGTCATGTGTTTAAACACACACACACACACACACACACACACACAAAGAGTGCTTGTAAGCCATGCAGAGTAGCACACACCTGTCATCACAGTACTTGGGATGTGGAAGCAAGAGGCTCACAACCAGCTTGGGCTACATAGCAAGGCTCTCTGTCCCAGACTAAATTGACCTAGCTGGATTGCTTCAGACTTGAAAAGAACCAGCATTTTTATCGGACCAATTTAGAAGATGCAGATTTGGGTCATCTGACTATTACGTCCAGCCAGCTAGGTTTGAGTCAAGATGCAGTGCAGCATTTTAATATGATCAGCGCCCTCCTTCTCTCCCTCTTTTCTTTTCTTTTCTTTCTTTCTTTCTTTCTTTCTTTCTTTCTTTCTTTCTTTCTTTCTTTCTTTCTTTCTTTCTTTCTTTCTTTTCTTCCTTTCTTTCTTTTTCTCT